TGCTGTTATCACCATCAGTTTCCTCACAATCACTAATAAATCCTGCGTGCACCCCACAGATTCCCTCTCAACGGATATTGCAAGCTGACTTCGATGCAAGCCATCCAACGACTTCTGAACCAGAACTTCACCATCGTGGCGAGCAACGGCGGAGGCGTAGAGGGCCAGCAGTTCTCGGAGTACCTCTTCTGCAGGAAAACTATACCACTGTGATCACCTCGTTCGTTAATTATCGTCCAAGAACTATCGCACTTCGTAGTCGGGGCGCAGGCTATGTGGGCCATCACGTCACAGACAGATTAGATAAAAAAGAAATAGAAATAGAGGAGGGGGGGGAAGGGGGAGAGTAAAGAATGTTATGTACTATGATGAAGTCCGGAGGAAGGAAACTGGACGTGTTTCTTTTCAGCAAAAGGTTCATGTGCGGTTCGAGCGGGATTTTTTCTCTTTTTTTTTCACTTCGGTAACTTAGGAGAAGGACATCTTTTGTAAGGATGGAGAGAATGCACGCGAGTATATTTTCTAAGATATATATTAGAGAAAAATAAAGTCCATTTTCTATCTGCACAAGAAGAGAAGAGATTTTTTTGTGTATAGAATCCAGCATCCCTGGAAGAGGTAATCGCCATCGGATTACCAGTGATTTTGTGGAAATTTTGGAGATTTTCCGCTTGTAATGAAGATGACATTTACCCTTTTTATATTTTTTAAATGTTTGAATTAAGATGTATGGAATTTTTATTACAATTTTATTGTATACAAGAGTAGTCACACAATGGTCGACCGATAGCGTTCTATTGTGTTTATATGGTGATACTGAATGGTGATTCGAGATAGTGATGTTGATGCAGATGACTGTAAAGATGTTTTACGAGAATCGTGTTCCTGGTTACCGGGTTCATCGTGGATTCTTCAGTGCCATGCTTTGTACACACTGTCGGTGCTCGAGAGCCGCCACTGTCATGTCACCCAAGAGGTAGCTCGTTATTGTTACATAGTTTACACATTTTTTCTCTCTTTCTCTCGATCAGTAGAGTTATATACAGATCCCTAAGGTTAATTTGTACTCTTTCATGATCAATGGAATTACAATTATATTTGTAAGATTATTTTTCCCACGTAGTTCCGGGCGACGTTTTTAGGGAAATACATTGACACTGATGACCAGGTTTTCGATTTGACGATCAGCTGGGTGACATGTCAGTCGCTGTTCTTGAGATTGTTCTGGCAGCGCTGACGGTGTTCTGCCAAGTGAATCAGGATAACAGCATAAGTTAAGGGATAATTGTAAAAAAAAAATGATTTTTAGCTTAGCATATTTGGGACGACGAGCTAAGCAGGACATTGTTGAGTTTGTTGTGGACGTTTCGAAAAAAAAAAAAAAAAAAAAAAATCATTGTTATATGAAAGCGAATGAAGGCTCGGTGATTCACTTAACGAAAGTCATTAACTGACAAAACAATGTACGTACATACGAGCAAATGATTTTGTTATAATCTGTGTTTCTTTATTGAGACAGAATGTTTTTTTTTTGGCTGCGTTCGAACTGATAATCCAAATTACAGTAATAACTACATTCCTATGATTAACAATAATGCTGACGATATTCTCTTGGGATATGCCCAAACGTGCATCACACACCATACTCAACAAAGTCTTGGCTTTCGAAATGTCCCGTAGAATTTATCGTGCCATACTCACTAGGAGGCAGAGTGCGTGGGTGTGGGGACCTCTCTCCTTCACACGACTCATGGGACGCGTGGACATGGAGCAGGCATCGAAAAACTTTTCTTTCTCCTTTCACCAACAATGTTTCAATGCTCGGGCAGAGAGAATGCTCCAGGGCCGTCGTCGAGTCAGTCTAGTTCGCCTCCATGTCCTCTGTATATTCTTTTCTAATGACTTTAGAAATTCTTCTGGTATTGTACAGTGAAGAAAAATTTATGTAATCATTTGACTGTTGTTCACCGGTCTCCTGCTATTCCTATCCCATTTTTCTTTATCCGTTCATTCACCGCTAGGTCCTAACCCCACCCAGGCTAGACCACGCCCCCTAAGCCACGCCTCTCACCTGCCGTTAGAGACCCGGCCAGGTCAGGACTGGGTCAAGGAGCAGTACAAAACAGAGGTCGAGGCAGGTCAGAGTCACCCCGTGAACTAATGTACATAAGAAGGAGATAGTGGCACCAGATCTAGCCAGGAACATGATCGAAATTGCGGATACGAGCTCCTTGAAGCGGTACAGCCAGTCGTATCGTCGCGCCAAGAGAACGGCCGACTAGGGCTGGGGGAGTCCCCCTCGCGGCGGGGCGAGTCGCAGTGTCGTCGTGTTCCCTGCAGGTCTGGTCCGCTTCCTTAAAGAGTCTCTTGCTGCCACCAAGCCAGACACGAACCACGCTGCAGCTGCCACACCGAAGAGTTTGCCCTTGGCTTTACACTGTCTCTCTCTCTCTTTCTTTCTTTCTCTCTTTCTCTCTCTCTCTCTCTCTCTCTCTCTCTC